AGACACAACTCCGCTAGCGCCTTCTACGAAGGCTGGCTTTCGTAACCCAGTGGTGATGTGGGAAAGAACTCAAACATACCAAAACATATACTAAAACCCTGTTGCCATGTGGTTGTTTTTTGAACTGATGCTTGAAAACGTAGATACAGACCCCCACACGGAACATCCACTCAAACCCCTGTGCTTGGGAGGGTCTCCCCGCAGTCTTATATGTGCACCATTGTCCACCACTATGTGGGCCCACCCAAACACCATGTATATTTGTATAACACGCTGTTCGCTGTTTTGTAAATCCCTTGGGCCTACAGTGCCTATAGGGCCTATAGCGCCTACAACATTGATGCCATGGATTCACCTAAAGACCCGCTCGTCCAAATGCTACCGCAGTCCTCGTCATCAACGTCCTTCAGGGCACAAGGCAAAGCGTGGAGAGCTCCGGGAAACATGAACCCCCCACACAAGGCCCAAGCAAATTGGGTCCAACAGTGCGACCTCTGAAGCAGGTCCAACACCAATGGTACATCCATCATAGATGCCATGATCCAATTGATATCAATCAAGAATGTGCAAAACGCATCGAGATGCCAAACGCATCGCATGCTCACGCTCATCCATGCTCTCACTCATGGCTCTCCACGCGTCCACCCTGGCCTCCGCGGAAGGCCGTTGAAACACGTCCGACTCAGGGGACTCCGTGGACGTGACCTGAGGCGTGTGACCGGATCCGACGCGACCCGAGGAGAAACGGGCGACCTGAACCCGGTCAAGACGACGAAGGGAGGGAGCTGTGAACGGAGCTGCGGAGCTGTGAATGGGTTTGACCAAACCTCACGAGCGCTCGAAGAGATGCTCTCCGAGGATATACTTTGCCGGCGCCTCGAGCACGTCTTCATGGAAGCGCCGTGTGGCGGGCCCCACCTGGTGGCTTCACCGAGTCGAAGCGAGGCGTTGGAACGCCGGACCGGCGGGTGGGCAGTGGGCGATGCGACGCTTGAAGCAAAACCCTAGAAGTCCGACTATTTTTTGACCGGCTGAAGTAAAGGAAGTTCCCGAAATCAGGTCCCCTAAAGACCTTTTATAGACTCCCAAACAAAAGGGACGTCCGAACTCGCATGGCATATCAAGCGCCAGAAATGGCCGTTGAGACGGCATTGACATCATTAAACCCACCCAGTCAATGCGATGTCCCAGGTGGTACGAAAAAAAACCTTCAGCTTGTTAAGTTAAGGAACGTGAACCCTTCTCAAGGTGTTCGACTATGTTCGCGGCATGTTCAGCCATCCTCATTGCAACTGAAACCACATGCCACATCGGTAGAGCTCCAGTCGTACCTCGACGCTTGGGGTGGGTGCGGGTGTTGGACCACCTGAGGCTATGGGAGATGAATCGAGATGAGGTTTGGCCTATAGGCCACGGCCCCTAGTGCCAGGATCACGGAGGGACCCATTGAGCCAACCCTCGCCCCGCTGGTCCCAACACTCGCCGCCATATAGCTGGTGATGAGCCTCCTGACTGGTACATGCGACGACACCTAGCTAGCAGGGAATGAGGGCACGGATCCAAGAGGGAATCTATACTGGGGCCATCCAGCCACCCCTCATTCCCATTCGTCGGACGGTTTCCAGTTTGGACGCCCTCGCCTCAATGACGCCCTCCTCGAAGAGATCCGGGTCCTGACTTGGGTGCCCAACACGAACGGAAGAAAGTGGGAACGGACAGCCGGCAGCTATGTTCAACGGGGCAGGGGCTTGTGTATGTGTTCATTCTGTACATTGTGTGACTGCAGCAATCTCTTTGTTCAACATGTTTCAAGCACCTTTTGTGAGAATTGACGAAATCGTACGAATTTGCGAAGCAAACTCTGACTTTGTTGGCTGGCGACTGGCGACCAGCCCACGTGCCAATTAATAAGTGCTTTGGAGCAGTTGTGGAAGGAGAAATTGACCCTCCCAAAAAGAACACACACACAAACAACACTCGAATCAAACAACCTGCTAATCCAGTAGCCAATCTCACACTTTCCTCTATGTATCGCCTCAACCCACAGAATGGACACCTGGGATTTTTGTTTCCCCCTACCATTCGTTCGGTTTCATATTCATCCTGCAATGCTAGCCACCTTTCGAACATCCCCGGGCAATCTTTTCGTTTTGTGTGCACAAAACTCGCCCTATGATAGAACTTGATCGTCTGTCGCCCAGATGTTTGTTGAATGCGCAGCAAAAGCACATCTCACCTCTACCTGGTGCCGCAGATTCTTTGGGGAGAAACCTTCGATCTTCTGCAGGGAACACATTCATTGGGAGTTTCCACTAAATCATTACATCATCTTGTGTCATTTGTTCCTTTTTTGATGCCACCCTCTCCCCTATTCTCAACACTGGTTTGCTTGCGCCCCCCCACCACACCGCCACGGGCGTTTGCGGCGTCCTCCAGATCCTCCTGCAGCCGAGGCGGCCGCGTGGTCAGGTCTTCGAAGCACCAGACACTATTAAGTCTTATGCAGTTGCAACTGACACTTTTCCAGTATGTAACTGGGTCTTGAATATGTTGAATCTATGTGTTCCTGCGCCACCCTCCTCGCAGCTTTTCTCCCCACAGCGACACAGGTGCAGCACAGTTTCATGTGCGTAGACATCTATAAGAGAAAGCTCATCGGTCCAAAAGACGGACCTGAGCCTTCACCCCAAAGCACTTTCAAAATCACATACCCCAAGACTCTAAGTAGCGTTTCACCGTGGGATGATCACGTGGGGCTGACTGAAGAATCCACCTCAGAGAATGGTGAACCAGTCAGCGGTAGCCACTAGTCAGAAAAGAAGCAGTAATAGCCACTACGACTAGTCGGAATAGAAACCAAAGTAGTCACTAAGTAGTCATTAAGCAGTAGTTCATGTCGCGGTGCTCTTTCCTGGCGTTGGTGGCATCCTGCTGGGCCTCTTTCGGTCCCTTGCCAGCGGTTTTGGCTTTATGATGGGCTGCTGAGTAAACCTGAGGCAAAGGCACTACAATACTATACAAGGGGTTTGAAAAGTCCCAAGTACTCAAAAACAGTCATTGATAAAGTGCACAAAAAAGTTTTTTGATCTATTTGAATCCCAATCACTGCATGCATTTTCCTTTCCACGTCATCTTTTGGCGTTGGTTTGCGGGCCATGCGCTTTGGGGACACCTTAGCCTTAGCCTTTGCTGCAGCCTTTGCTAGTGCACCCCTCTTGGGAGTAACCATTGCTTTTGCTTTGCATTTTGCATTTGCTTTGGGAAGCGGAGATCGTCCAGTAGGGCAATGTTTGGGCATTGCCCTCTTGGGTGTGGCTTTTGGCTTGGGCTGCGGTGGTGAGTCAGCACCTGGGGTATCAGCGGTATCAGCAGCTTCATCATTCTTGATGCTTACCGGAGTTGCAGTCCCATCAGTAGTTTCATTGGATGCGGGAGCTGCATGCCCAGTTCCATCACCAGCTTCATCATGATGGGCCGACTCCTCCAAGGGAGTCTCCTGAAACACGGGGGGTGTAGCTGCACATGGTTTACTGTAACTACCTTACTATGATGTGTGGCTACCGCTGCCAAGGCAAAACTACGATGCAGCCAGTCCTGAGCTACCTCAGCCTCTTCCAGGAGCCCATCCAAGTTCTCACTGGCCAAACTCCGGAAGAGGGGCGGCTTTGTCTCCTGTTGTGGCGGATATGTTACATTATATAACCAACCCTTGGTTCAACCCCAAAACACCTAAAGCAGCAAGTTGATTCTCCTGCTCTGGCTTCGTGCCATCAATTTCATCGGCTCGATCAGTGTGATCGATTGGATCACTAGGAGAGTCCTGACACAGCAGCTTTTGGTCGGATCAAACACCCTGTAGCAAGAAGTGTCGACCCCTTCCCTTTGATCAACATATCAAAATGAAGTCATGGATTGAAGAGCGGAAAGGTGGAATGGTTGTCACATATCTTTGGGGTGGTCATTTTCCACATCTATATGAATGAGGTGTGGCTTTACGGGCTATCATGCACTGGTTTGCTGTTTGCCAGGCAAGGTTTTAAATGTTCATGTGTGGTTTCATGTGGATGATGCAGTCCCATGCCACCACAAAGGGTGTAAGTTACAGTATGTGTAAATGCTTTTGTGTGTCATCTACCAATCACAGTATACATACCTATATGTAATATACACTTCGGGTTCAGAACTCTGAGTTACAAATCATCACCGTATCGCCATTCAAGATGAAAGGCATCCTTCTCCAAAAATGAACTGATGCCTGATATGTATAATATATATATATATCCTTGTGCCACCTCATGCACACTAGATTTCAAAATGTATGTTTTGCAAGCACCCCCAAATCAAATCATCTTGTCCTTGTACTCGGGCAAGCCCATTTGGTTGTCCGGATGCTCCAAGCTGAAGGTAGTGGCAGGCCAAGCATGTTGCCGACTGATAAAAGTTATGCCATTGTTTACAAAGAACATCACCACTTTTGGGTCAAGTGGCATTGAGGAATTGTTCAGCTCGACCATGTTGTTCGTGGGGTGAGATAGTTCCAAATGCTGCGACCTTGGAAAATGAGAGATGGGGTAACTTTCGGCTAGTTAGGGGCGCAGGTTCCAAGGTACCTGTAGGTAGCATAGTCTTGTTTTTGCTCGATCATATACGCAAAGGGTTCCATCGGCACCTGTGCCATGTGATGGTGAGGAAATTGGTACACATGTTTTCTTGAACATGCATTATTCACAGAGACATGCCCCAAGACAAGTAATCTGGAACCCGCCCCAAGACAAGCCTCATCACCACCATCACCACGCTTTGATGCTGGTCGCTTCGCAGACTTGGTGCCACCCCCCTTGGAAGCAGCAGGCCTTTTCTTACTACTCTTGTTTTGGTCATCATCCGAAAAAAGATCATCAAGACCACAAAGGCCACCAAACATGTCATCATCTTCATTGTTGTCGTCATCCTCGCCACCACCGAGAGGGTTGTTGGTATGGTCAGCCCCATCGTCATCATCATCATCATCATTGTTCTTCTTTTTCTGTTTCTTGGCTTTACTGTCTTTCCCTTTTGGATTCTTATCTTTCCCTTTATCTTTTTTGTCTGTCTTCTTTTTCTCATCTTTCTTGCCCCCTCCGCCCGGCGGTGAGGACTCTTCAGATGACTGGAACCTTTCAGGCAGGATCTCTCCAACCGAAGCATGGGCTGCACCTCGGGTGACATGAAGACTGCAATTTGCCAAAACGTAATCAGAAAACTGTTTGATGCAAGATGAGACATGGCACTGGAAGAAGCCATAGGGGGACGGACTGACGCGGATGTGGTAGATGGTGCAGACCCAGAACGGTTGCCCGTTCCAATAATCTGATTCAAATCAAAAGCCTCAGCTGAATATCAGAGTCATCGTAACAGGGTACCCCAAAGATTGCAAATGAAACTGCAAAATAGCACTGCCTGAATCGATCAACTTTTAATGGTATGGTCAACACCTTCAAACCCAATCCTTCAAACAGTCAGTTTGTCCATTGTGCCTGACCACTTCCCAATATGCGACTGCAACTGAGGGGCTGGGGCCCGAAAGGTACTAGACGCGGGGACGATGACCACATCCGAGTCATCGCTTGGAACTTTTTTCAAAGCTCTCCGATTCGACATGACCGCCGCCAGGTGGATCTACTACTCACCCTTTGAAAGCTACTTTCTCCTAAGCCACCAAAACAGTATGGCAGATACTAGATACATATAGATATATATATATTATATATATTTATATGGCATCCCATGCAGAAATCCATACCCAAACAGTGCAGCTGCAGGTGACATCAAAGATTCCGGGTTGAAGATGCCGCTAGACCGGACACGACAGGACACGGGAGAGCCTTTTGTAGCCTTTTGCTGGCAGAGGTGGCTGGATTGTTTCTAAGACTGTTCCCAGGCCTAGATATCACTCAATTTGTTTTTGTATCAACATCGCTACTCAGAAAGAAATGTCAAGTGAAACAAAATTGCTTTCATGTCAGATATGGGTCCGGTAGATGAAGATAGATGAAGGCAGACCTGGGAACCAAGATTGGTATAAACTACCACCACGGACCGACGTGGCCCAAAGAATGACTCGGTCTAATGACCTGCAAAGCAGGCCTTGGTTTGGTGCTCTAGCAAGGAGCAAAACTTCAGCATCATGACGGAGGCACAACCACTGTCAAACAGCAATATCCGAAAATAATCCCAAGATCAATCTACCAAGATATGATTCTAAGTTTAGGCAGACCATACATACTTTGTCGGTTTTGCTCCTGATGCTTACCCCCCTAAATCATCCTAAATCAGGATTCCTCAGAATCAAAACATTTTTATCACAGTGCTTCCAAGATCGAGAACGCCGGTGACACATGCAATGGGTCGCAGCGGCACCAGGGTCTTCACACCTGATGCGTTGTTTGCATCCAACCTGGCAGGGCCGAGCGAGTGTAGCCCAAACAAGACCCCAAAGGGTTCATTAAAACACATTGGTACTATATGCACATTGGTACGGTATGCACACCTCATCCTCCATCCGACCATGAGTCGCTGGGCCCGCTTGAACTTGCCGATGTCAAGGATAGAACCAAAGTTCTTATGCGTCATAGATCCGGCCACCTTGTCCTTTTTGGTCTTCTTCTTTTTGGGTTTCCCATCCTCCTCCCGATCATGCTTGGGAGGATCGATCACAAAGACCAGCGGTTTGTCCTGCTCGATCTTGTCTGTCGAGGAGAGGACATGATGAGTCACAGCCAACTTGACCTGACAGGGAGGGGTCTCTGAGTTAAGGGAAGGGATCTCTGATGAAGTGTCTTTGAGCCCCGAATTCAAACTATTATCCATGTCCCATTTTTAAAGCATGTCATGGCTATGGCCATGTTTGGGTGTCTTCGATGAAACAAGAGAGAATCTTACTTTGGTATACTGTGGTCATATTAGCTATTCTCAAGCACCCTCGAGCTGCCGGATGATCGTGGACAAAGGTGTTGGCGAGTCCACACATGGCAAAGAAGCCACATGATCTGCCAAATTCTTTTTCTCTAGGATCATCACCGTGTCAAGAGTCACATTGAAAGAGAACCATCTCCCGCAGCTGTCGGCCATGATTTCAGTTGCATCCTGAGTGGGGGACAACATCGATACAGGATGATATAGGTCTAAAAAATCACCATGCCCACATACAGTGCCAGTGCAAGTATCCCTAAACCATGTGAATCCCAGGGTCGGCATTCACCCTCCAATCGCCGCTGCCAAAGCTGAACCTGTGCGGACCAGTCATGAGGGAAATATAGGGAAATGATTGGACACCCATAGCCAGATTGACATTAAAAACAGCTGGTGGTGCTGGCTGTGTGCAGGCAAGAAGCAGCTCACGATGCATAAGAAACTGGTTTTTCCCCCGGGACACGAGGAACAGCGGAGCTCCATCTTGGCCACATGCCATTTCAGCGCAGTTGTTGATTTGGAAGATGTACCTTATTATTCAAATCACACAGCGGGTCTTGGAAGGACAGAAATTTGGAGTACCCATGCCAGATGGAAAGGAAAGCTGACTTGGAGTTTTTAAATTCCGGGTATAGTTAATTTATCAGTTCCCAAATCCACCATCCAAGGGACGGTTTTTGAAGATTGGCAATGTCAGCCTCCTTGCCAATCTCTGAGTCTTCCAGTTTGATCCGCTTGAGAGGAGATCCAAGATCATCAGCTTCAGTGGTCCTATCCCAGGCGCAGCACGGGCTTTAGAGGGGTTTGAGGGGTCCTAGGGTACCTGTTGTGGAACCTCCCAATGTGCAGACAACTGTTTAACCCACAAGCCCGCCTCTCAGTCTCGTGCCAATATTCACCGTCAACATTGAACTGTTTGTTGTGTGCCTCTAGAATGGCAACTGTCTCATCCTTGAACTCGGTCTCCATCCATTTGGCCGCCAATGCTTGAAGAACTACAAGGCGATCATGTTTCTTCACACATACCTCGTACTTCTTTTCCTGATCATCCGGCTTCACTTGCTGGATTGCCTGGATGAGAGGTGCAAAAGAAGGGAAGCCCACAATCTTCAATTGCTCCGCCCTGCAACTCTCATAGACCTTGTTCGCGATCCGCTGAACCATCGTGTCAGGCTGCTTGTCAAGAACCACACTGCCACAAAGCAATCGGCGACCTGCAGCACACTCCTGGCTGGCGAGATGGACTGCCGGAAGGGACCGTTGGCTTTGGTTTTGATCCTGAAGTTGTTATGATAGGGAACCGCCTCGTTTTGTCATTAATGTTTTAGACAATTCTTTGACAATACCAGCGCAAGCATGTAAACACATGTAAACTACAAACTTTAAAGAACAAAACCTTCATGTGTATGATGAACTGGTTTGCTTTCATGAAAGCAAAAACGCAGGGACAAGACACAAGATACAACTGTTGGTTGGACAAACCTCAGCGGGAACATGTTCATTTAGCATGAAGGTCAACATGATTGATATCATTTAGATAGCAACTTCTTGTAAATGTGAAAAGAACTACAAATGTGTGGCCCTAACGGGATGTCCTCCAACGCTGCAAGTGCTGGCCAGCAGTCGTAACAGTGCAGGTCGATGACCAAGGTTGTGCTAACCGAGTCTGGCAAAAAGGTCCCAAGGGTCTTCTTGACAAAGTCTGTTCCGCCAGCGACCTGGGTTTAGGCTAGCACTTTTGACACATGCGCGACACCTTTTATCATCATTTGTTTTGACACCTCGTTTTGACACTTTTTGACACACCTAGTCACCTAGCATTTTGACACCAATTGGTTGCTGAGGGGCCTGTCTCAGTTCTTGGGCATCTGTGAAAGCCCTGCCCAAGTGTGGTGTCGATGTAGTGGCCTGTCAGGGCTGGACCAAAAAGAAAAGGGAAGCATGGAAAGTTGAGCCTGAAGCATGGAACTAAATTAAACTAATGGAAAGTGGTGTGTGACATTGTGACACTCAACTGCACCAGCTAGGTCCAAAATGATGAAACCCACTTCATTCAAAGCAGGCCTCCGGCTTGTACATCTGCGAGCGTGGCAACATGGCGACATCACGGATGAGACCGTGTTTCCACCCAGATGTCCCCCTGAACATGTTCAGCTTGTCGCGGTGCACCACTGCCAGTCCAGCAACGCAAGCGTCCCGCTTGCCATAGACCGAAGCCTCAAGCAATAGGTCATACAAGTACAAAGTTGGTCATACAAGTTCTCTTGCGGAAACACCGCACATTTGACAAGAAAAATAACAATAAATAACATTACTAAGAAAATAACATATATGCATATACAGCATCATTGGCATAGTGCAAACACACATACTATTATATATGTATGGCCATATGGCACCAGAAAACAATATATCATATATCCTTGCAAACAAAAGGTGCCCCTATTAAAACTGAAAGATAGTTGACAGCTAAAGTTCATCATCAATAAGGTTGGAGGTCAAGAATTGTTGAACATGTTTCTTGAGGCAAAAACATGTCACATGTAATACTTCAACAACTACCTCCGCACATACAAACTTACAATTTGGGAAACAAGCAGCCTGGTCAAATACCCAGGTCACGTTCTTGACGCACAGATTCCGGTCTTTTGCAGCAAGAGCTTTCCTCAACATTCACAAAGGACGAACTAAGCAGGAAAATAGATACAACATCAACATCCTGGAAACGAAAGAAAAGCAAACCTCTTCCCAGTGCTCATTTAAGTTTCTCAAGCTTATGCCGCACATCCCTGATGTCGGCTTCCTCAGGGTTCTCTGGATCAGCCTCCTCCGAGTCACCATCGGTCTGGTTGTCGCCACCCTCCTCATCGTCCGGTTCTTCCTTCTTCGCTGTGGTGTCATCCTCGTCCTTCTCGGTCTTTTCGATCTTTGAACTGGATTTCCTGCAAAAGCGGACTCATTGTTGCCGAGATCCCCCAATCTTCCCGAACTTATCACTAGAAAATTTGGTCACATTTACAAAACAAATAAGTCTTTTAGTCGGTGGGTCCTGCCAGTGTCAGAAGCACGGTTGCCGTGGACAACAATCGCGATGGAATTGCGTTTGTGTGATGCCAAGATGTTCGACACGGCTGTCAAAAAGAAGTCCATTTTGGCAGCCGGAGTGACTCCGGAGGTGGGCAAGTTGAGCCATACCACAAGACAGTGGTCACTCGCACTGCGAACTTCCTTCGGGTGGCTAATGAATCCAAAAACGAGGTCTGATCCAAAACAAGTTTACTATAGTCATGCTTGCGCGCGTGCTAAATGTTTTTGGAAACATATATAACGAAGATTACACACTAACTAGGACAAGCGTCAGGAATTGCATTGAGTGCATCATGCACCCATGTGGTGATAGAAGGCAGGATTGTGGATTCTGCTTCCAAGGACCGGCCGGTGAAGGTGTGGAGGTTGTTCTCCATGTACTCCTTGATGTGGTTCCATGCTTTCTCATGCATGACCTGCCATGGGTGCTGTAGGCATCCCTGTCCAACCGCGGTCATGGATTCGCTCAAATGGATGGTGGATGCCTTTTGAATTGTTTTCAAGTATCCCGTATTCAACACCACAAAAGTTTAGTTCTCACAAAAGGGGTGGCGGTGATTGTGATATGGCTTGGATGAAGCCCCCACCTCAAGCTCAGCGACCAGTTTTTGTCGACGTTTGGAGTGCTCCTTCTCGCTCCTCGGTCCGCAGGACTGGAAGAGGCAGAAGGAGGCAGAGGAGAACCCGGGACCGGACAAAAGTGGGTGTGACTTTCATAGTGGGAGATTAATGTTCATAGTGGGTGTGACTTTCTTGGGAACCAAAGCTGCACTACTTACTAACTTATATTATGATTACAGGAGCTGGTGTAGTTGCCGGCAAGGAAAACAGATATGATTACACAGCCTTGCAACTCAAGCTGAATCGGACCCCCTATCAAATTGCACCGGTGATGATGAAATAAGATATGCTAAGTCATCCGGGTTGTGTCGACTTTATGGCCATTCAAATACTCTGTCGAGGTAAGAATACATCATCAGCTGCCATGATCATAACAGTAACAATGCAAAGCAGAAAACCAAATCCCGATTCTACATGGTCACATCATCATCACCCTCATCATATCCGTTGTTTTCATCTTCCGCATCAACATCGCCACCACCACCACCATCATCATCATCATCAAAATCAAAACAACAATAACAATAATCATCATCATCATACACATCATCATCATTGATCATGACCAGAAGATTTGATCATCATGACCCTCAGATTTGATCATCATCATCATCATCAACAGCATCATCAGCAGCATCACCATCATCATTGTTTTTGCTTCCTATGCCAAATCACGATATTTGCAATATGTTCTTCTTCATCACCACCAACATGATTTTTCACAGCAAGCAGATGCAGGGAAACATTATTTTCATACATGCATCTACAGAACGACCACTTAACAAAGACAGGACCAGAAGTGTGGTAGAAAGGATCAGAATCAAACAGAGACCTATCATCAGCACCACCCACACAGCACAGTCATCATTGGTGAGAACAAATCCAAGGTCCAACGTCATAATAACGATAATAATAAGAATACTATATAATAGGCTATGGTAATCAGCACTGGCCTCACAAACTTTCAGCATCTGCATCCCCCACACCACAATATCAACATCAGCCTCTCTCATTATCATTAGCATCTTCAGCCAGCATCTTCACAATCATCCACAGTCATCTGAGCTGGACAGAAGGGACTGGGACACTACAGCCGACTATGATTGGCCATCATAAGTGTCCGTTCATTTTTCATCAGCGCGATCCCCATCCTAGCCATCATCATCATGACCATCATGGGTCATCATCACCAACATATCAGCATCACATTGGAGGTCAACAGCGCCAAGACCAACAAAGCTGACTCATATCCCTAAGTAATTGTTGTTCAGTTTTCCATAGCTACAGGTGGCCGGAAACATAGATAGTGTTAAATTGGTTTGTTGAAGGCTAGAAAAATTTGACCTATTGACTCACTCTTTGCGACTTATCATGTGGGATCACCCCTGGATTCAACACTGTCAATGAAATGGTTCCTCTAGGATCAGCCCTTCCCTCACACCGTGTGGCACCCACGTATATGCGGACATGCAGCGCAATCTTTTCAGACTGAAAAAGGACTTGGTCAGCTTGAAGTAGCTCTTTCCAAACGTTCCATGCCGCTTGCAGAGATTTGCTGTGAGCATTGCGCGTTCTGTCTTGAGACTTGCTGATGAAGTCGTCCACGCACACCCCACGAATCTGCAGGGAATGTTGAGTGCACATAGGGAAGGAACCCTTGCGGGACATGCTTACCTAGATGTTGACACTTATAATATAAATATAAAGAAACGGTGCCTTAATAGTTATAACATCAAAATGTTTACCAAAACATTCATGGCCTCGAGAACGAACGGGATGCGCTCCCACTCGAATGGTTGAGCAGCTTTCATCACCCCAGCAAGATCTGCATCTAGCGACCTAAATTTGTTGGATGCAGCTGGACCAAAATCTAATAATGTGTTTTTTCATTGTTTCATTCTTGAAATTGTTAAAATCTGAAAAACATCAAAAAACCAATCATTTGTTGGGGCCCATGTCTATCATCAAGATTGTGACGGGATCCTGTGAAATCCCTTGATAATCTATATGGTGTTGGACAGGGTCAATCACAGTCGTTTTTACAAAACCAAACTTCTCAATGTGACTACCCCTACCTTCACTTTGCATAGGTTGTGACGGGATTCTGCAGGATCCAGTCACATTTTCCCCTCAGCGATATATGGCGGTTGATTGGTTTTTTATGTTTTTTTAAACATTTTCAGAATTTTGGTTAAACAGATTTGGCGGCAGCCAAGTGGTTTCAACAATTTGTGACGGGATTCCACAGAATCCAGTCACACTCCCCCCCCTGAATTTGGCCACAGCCAAGTGGTTTCAACAATGTGTGACGCCTTGAGTCTGCAGTGGGTCCAAATTTGCTAGTGATACCAGCATTCCAGAAACCAGAACTGTGCTAGTCATGATGATCAAACTTGTAAGTCCCCCTCCCAGTGCTACTCAAGGCCAAATACACCGAGGTGCCCTTTCATGAACAATTCCACGTGTTTGTCCACGACATCACCTGGAAATTCAGCCTGGAGCTTCGGCACCAGATACAAGAAGAGACAGCAGCTGTCGTACAGGAGCATGTGATCTTCTTCAGAAAGCTGGGAGTTCTTCTGAGGCAAGGTTGAGGGATGTGGAGGGCTGCAAGAATCTCGCCATTTGCAAGTCTGTTTTTTTCACAGTCAAACCTATGTTGACAATATTGGTTTGGCAATGAGTCTTGATCTCCGTCATGAATTCTCAAACTGAAGAACACTGGATTATAAGTTGAATTCTTCCCAAGATTTCAGTAATATATACAGGTTCTTTAATCTCAACACCATGGAAACCAACATTTGCCAAGACTGGTCCTTGGTTTTCGTGGATGAGTCTGGCGGGGCCTTTCGCTTGAAGTCCTGTTGGAAAGCCGACCGTCTGGATTCTTTGTGCCTATATTTTCAATACCATGGATCAGTATAGATCAGATGAGCCAGATCTAAATACAGGCTTCTTGGATAGAATGTTAGTCTAGTGGTGGTTGAAACATAGAGGCATGAGAACATATTGATGTTCAATACCCAGTCCTCGATTGCACGGGACATCCACAACTTGGCAGCCTCAAGTGTGCTGGAAAGGATCTCCTTGAACAGCGGCTTGCCCTGGTATCGTTGACACTCGGCGCGAGCTGAGCTTCCAGGGACCCACCAGTCCAATTGAAGCACGTCAATCGGCAAGGCTGGCGGGCCGGTATCGGACCAGGATTCCGGGAACGTCTGGAAGAAAAACAAATCAAATTGAATTAGACATGCTGAAACAGAGTGCTTGGTGTTCAAGCACAGACACAACACAAACACATTGTTTGGCAAAAGTCTAGCCTGAGAGCGTGTGAGGATAATGGTCGTAATGTTGATGAACCATCATCTGTGTTCTGTCATCCGTCCGAAGCCTGATCTGCTCTAAGTCTATGTAGACTGGTCGAACAAATGTGGCAAGGTTTAATGGGGCAGAATGGGGCTTTAACATCGCAATGCAATGTAAAACCAAAAATATATAATAGGTCGAAGGACAGATTCATGATTAGGTTCCTCATCGGGGTGTCTATCCGGTGGGCCTTCTTGCTCACCATGCGGTTGTATTCCGCAGTGCATCGGGCAACAACATCTTTCAGCGCTTTGGAGACGGATGCCGGTGCGACCCTACGCTCTAATGCAACCGCTTCCTTGATAGCCCCAACGAAGTCTAGCGCTGAAGGGGATTGCTTCTGGGCCGTCACGCATTGGATTCCTCGGTTGGTGAGAGGTTGGGTTGGGCACGGATACTGTCATGGAATCTTGAGATTGGATTCACATGTTAAAGCTTCCATTTGTGTGAAAACCGAGAAACGCAGTGAATGCAGGTGATGGTGACCAGGGTGCGTAAAGTGTGTGTAAGCACACCTCACCCAGCGGAAGCTACTCAAAATCTTCCGGACCGATGGCAACTGCAACTCCTCTGGAGTCAGTTCCTTAGATTTACAAAGAGGAAAACTTGGAAGACATCAATTCAAAGAGCTACCCCGCATTCGGATCTCTTCATGATGTCAGTTCACACTTCCAACTCCCGGACCATGAGCATAGCTTAAAACATATACAGTAAATACATTCATGCATCAAGACAATGGCAGATTTTGGCGATCCCCACCATGATGATGATCTTGCAAAAGCCATCATTGATGCCAACACTGCCATCGATAATTTGACGCGTACCATCTCCCATTGGGAACTTAACCTCCACTGCCTCTGCTGAGATCCGGTATCCATCTCGCAAGAATTCTCCGAAGTGCGCACTGGTCTGGATGTTCTGCGGGAAATCTTGCAGGGCACAGCTTCTGGAGAAACCCCGGACAAGTCAAACGTAGGTTGTAGTCTACTTTGCGATTCTGATATACACTCTTGAAGGTCACATCTTTATGCGCGCGTAATTCATTAAATTAATGATGGTCCGACCTACCTTTAAGTGAGGGCTTCAAGCACCCCCCAAACACACAACGTTTTCAACAACCCGACATCCATGCTTGGAGCGTGCACTCACATCAAAAGCCGTCAAAGGTAGCCAGAACTCTTTCATCGAACAGTTTGGAATGGTGCCCAAGGGCAAGCGAGAGTCAGCAGAGTCGGAGTCCATCACCACCTTTTGCGCAACCTGACCGCCAGTGGTTGCGCAAAGCGATGACTTGGGTTGCGGTAAGACTGAGGCACAATATATATATATAAAATATATCCCAGGTATATGTTTGCCAAATGTTTACTTGACTGCTTAGCAGGCCTCTTGCAAGCTGCCTGTGAAAGTGTCGTTGACCCACGCCCCAAAGTTGTTCTCCGTTATGACCTAATTTCGGGGGGGCGCCGGCTGG